GGTTTTTATTATCACTATAATACTCGAACACATAATAAACTCCTTAAACTGTTTAAAAACGGGAGTGCGACTTGCTCATAGAACAAGCTAAAAATTCTTTGAAAGTATTATTATGCATATGGAAAGAGGAATAAATACAGTAGTTCCAAAATAGACAAAGAGAGGAATTTAAATTAAAGTTTGGGAACATTTACATAGTCCAGGGATGACCAACACGTAGCCGCGTCTTGGGTAGTTGATCGTGTCAGATGTCATGTAAATTTAAATTTAGTCCGAGTACTATACATATACTATAAAATTGAATGGAACATAAAAAATACAATTTTTTTATATTCTTTGTAGAAATGCGCCCACAGAACCGAGCTTATTGGCAGCAGTGGATATTTGGGTATTTTCGAAGTATGTGAACCAAGATGGCGGATGGCGGACACCGGAACGTAGTGTGTGTACCAGGTCAGGGTTAGACCATAATTTGATTCCAATTTTCCTTATTTTAGTTCTATTACGAATTCGGGGACTGGCCAAGTGACTCCCGTAGTATTTGTACCTGAAATTATGGCCTAACCCTAACCTGGTGCACATACTACGTTCCGGTGTCCGCCATTTTGGTTCACATACTTCGAAGGTACCGAATTTTGTATGCGCTGGTGTAGTTATCTGCATATTCAGCATTCATTCGTTTATGTGTATCACCGATCAGTCGATCGCGAGCTATTTCGAAAAGTTTAATCGATCGCGGTCAAAGAAAGATTGGCCACCCATGCACCCGTGGCTGATATATTCGATTAAGATTGGCGACAACAACAAAGCTCGCGTATTTATAACATTATATTGTCGGATATTATTATTTTCAATCCAGTGTTAAAAGTCTGCTACTTGCCGATTGTTCCACATACAAATACTCGTGGTCATATCAATTCACAGTCAAAAATTAGCCATTTTTTTGTTTCCCGCCTTTTTCATGGAATCAAGTGTTCACATTATTAGAACCCACGAAACTCTATATGCCTAAGTGCAATTTCAATTACATTGAAAACAATCCAACAATTGAAGATAGAAATTTCACACACGCACAAACGCACGGTGTAAAATGATGAACAAAACAATATAATAAATAGGTACAAACAGAAATATACTTTTTTTTAAAAATGTAAAAAAACATTAAGCTCAACGTATTCGATCTATTAATTTTGGGAAATAACAAATATTATGTAATATTTAATTCAAGTACATATTTAGGTACTCCCGAAGTATGTGAACCAAGATGGCGGACACCGGAGCGTAGTATGTGTACCAGGTTAGGCCATAATTTTAGGTACAAATACTACGGGAGTCACTTGGCTAGTCCCCGAACTCGTAATAGAACTAAAATAAGGAATATTGGAATAAAATTATGGCCTAACCCTAACCTGGTACACATACTACGTTCCGGTGTCCGCCATCTTGGTTCACATACTTCGGGAATATCTATATTTATATATAACATTTGTGCCCCACCACGGGTGGACAAAACATTGTATCGAAATATTCATATATTCAGTCAATTGCAAATTAAAAATCAACTAATAAGCATAAATAATAAATATTTTGACATAATAACAACATGCCATGTTTCCGCTTTTAACCTTTACCGGATAAAAATAAGAAAAATTTGAATTGAGTTCCAATCATTAGCAGTACCTGCTCAGTAGATTTTACACAACGACACTTGCAATTGTCGGTCTTCGTTCGTTTACAATTTCACTACGTTAATTTGCATAAGTAAAAATTAACAAAGTCGATTTTTCACGTAAAAACTGATTGGTGGAACTGAGGACTAATTGGTGGAAATCTTAGCTAAAGATCACCATGTGGCGATGGCATTGGACGATGGTAAATAGAGATCTGACCCAGGAGATAAAGCAATCTTCCATACCTTCTCGTAAAATTTATGTCTCTTTGTAACAATGTAATTTATACAGAGTAGAGAACAAACATAAAAATCGTTATGTCCCAACATCTTACTTTAATCATGATTGCAGTGTTTGTAGTGAAATCAATAATTATTATACGTCCCTTTACTTCCCCGTGATGCATTCGACCATTTACAAGAAAACGACGCTTTCAGGAACGACTCTTTTTACTCCAACTATACGCGCTAGAGTATTGCCATCTCTTCTTCCTATAAATCGTTGGATGAGTATTGGGTATTCCTCAAGTTCATTCTCAGACGATTGTCCGGTTATAAAAGGATGACGAAGTGCTTCTTCTGGTGTGATACGTAATTCAGGATCCCATCTGTTAAATATCAAGTATACTGTATGAATATTTTGATTTAAAGTTATTTATATTGTTGCTTCAAACGAGCGAGATTGCTGGGTTTGAGAGAAGAAAAATTTTTGAGCTTCACACTCAATAGCTCAAATGTCTAATTTTCATTTTCAATCATAATTTCAAAACAAATTCTTGTAAATAAGAAGTTCAGCCATCAAAAGTAATGTAAGCTATTTATTGCAGTAAAAGAACAATAATTGGTTTATACTGTATCTGCTTTTATAGGTCTATTTCTTTTCTGTGATATATTTGGGACTTGGCATTAACAAAAACGAAATTTTGTATTAATTTTGTTGAATACCAAATCTCTCAAGATATGGATGGGGCTGGGCATTTTCGAATACCTTGTGATTTCAGAATCGAATCGAATAATTTTTTCGAATCGAATCGAATCTCGAATACTTGAAAATATATAATTGTAAGCGACTTTATTATAGTAATTGGTCCTCTCAACAAATGAAATACTGAAGACATAGAATGAATCACTCAGATAGATTACTGATCGTTCACACAGAATAACTCACTACAGGAAATAGTCATAAGTTAGAATTTCGTTGAAAAAATATGATTCCAATGAAAAAAAACTTGGGGAATTCATCTCAACCATTAGCGGAAAGATAAAAACAAGATGGCGGCGATTCGAAGTTTAGCTCTGTACCAATTCGAATAATTTACTATTCGATTCGAATATTCGATTCGAAATGCCCAGCCCTAGATATGGATCCTCTTCTTTACACGAGTTACAGCTTTTAAGCAATTTATTTAAGTTTCGTGATTACCACAAACATGGAAATATTCTAAAAATCAGAAGTGCATTAACGTCATACGTGCATAACTACTTGCATATAATTGATTTAATAAACGAAATTTGATACGCTCGAAGTATGTGAACCAAGATGGCGGACACCGGGAGGTAATATGTGCACCAGGTTAGGGTTAGGTCATAATTTCAAGTACAAATACTACGGGAGTCACTTGGCCAGTCCCCGAACTCGTACTAGAAATAAAATAAGGAAAATTGGAACAAAATTATGGCTTAACCCTAACATGGTACACATACTACGTTCAGATGTGCGCCATCTTGGCTCACATACTTCGGGAGTACCATAAATTTAAATTGGAACACAAATAATCTCATGTGATTGTACCGTCCATGTATATATACAGAGTATATATCTCAATAATTCCCTAAATATTTTAACGCAAATGAAGAATGTTTATTTAGCACTTTAACCTCTGTTTGTGTACTATTTACTCGAGAGTTTGGGTAATCTAACTCGCTTTTCACGAAGTTACGTTCTCTATGGAAAATTCCCAATTTATCTGGGCACTTTGTTGGGTCACCCTTTATATAGTTTTATTATTATGCTGATATTAGTCGCCAACGTGTGCGAAGAATACAATTTTCCGTGAAAATTTAAACAATATCATGTAAGAAGAATTTTGGTTATTGTGAGATTTCGACTGTCGTCATGGTTACCCGTCAGACTCTAGCCAGTTTGAATTGCTACTCATAGTCCACAGTCTTGACAACAAATAAAGTAGTAATACGTCTTACAAAATAGAACTATTCATAAAATATAAATAAGTCTTCAAAATAGCGTCTTTTATCGAGTAATAATGTTGTTCCAGGAATATAAATCCTTTCCAGTTGAGGTATCTTTTTGATTGTGTTGATTATATTTTTCTGTTTGTAACGAATTTTTATTTAAATTACGTCTTATCCGTAATGATTACGATGCTGTAGCAAAGTCAAATATTTGTCATCATTAATCGCCACTTCCACGGCTTCTTTCCTCGTACATCTCTCTTTGTTTATTGTAGTTATACGTCAATTAATTTCCTCATAAGGATTCCCTTGCCTGAAAAGGATAAGGATTTACACATTTATCCCGAGAGAGAGGAAAGCCGATAGGCGGCTTAGTCATATGGCGAACCACGGCCTCTCGTCCGGTTACCATTCCATGTCGGGTATGGGATTAGTTAGTTATTTGTTTTTTCGGAAGCATGGACTTGAAAAAAAATTAACAAAAAATTTGATACCCTCTCTGTGTTATCAGAAACTGAAACATGAGCACTATATGAATATGTAATTTATTGTTATGTTTAATTTTAGGGTTTGTGCGCACTCCGAACTAAAATGTATAGAGAGGCACACGAGGAGAGCAACTGGCAATCGAAGAGACTGGAGTCGCCTTAAAAAACGTATTATGGAGGCGACCTCACATCAGATCTAATCACCCTGTTGGATCAACCGCTGGATCGAGTGTATTGTATATATCTTTTTACAAAATGAATTCAATTGAAAGTAGTGCCTAATATTTTTCTCAGATTTTGCGGATCTTTTTTTACCTGTTATGGTTGCCATTGACATTCCACATTTCCACGCTTGGTTTTTCCTGATCGTTCTGTTTATTATCGAAATGTCTGAAAAGTTAAAAAAATTGTATGGCGTACATAAAGAAAACATACAATAAAGTTGTTCTACCATTTCATTCAGATGCTTTAGGTAACAATGTTAGAACTTCCTGGCTCTATATGCACAACAGCTATGTCGACAACAGCCCATTTTTTTCAGCTGTATCATCGGCTAATTCTACCTACTACGGTAAGGCTCAACATTTGATTTTTTCCAAATTCCAGAACAGCACTTGACATGATTGAGTAAAAAAGAAAGAGCAACATACCTGGCTATAAAATAAATTGGAACTCCAAGTAACCCGATTCCAATTACGATAATAAGAATTAATCCCCAGACAGGTAAAACTGAAAAACAAGAATTGGAATAACAAAACGAATTCTCGCTTCTATATAATGATTGCTGTACAGTATGATTGCTATTAGAAGTAAATCGACATAAATGTTATAATAACCTTTTTAAATTTTAGGTTAAAAATGGGTTTTGCTTATTTACTCGATCTTTGTGTACATTTTGTTTATGCTTTCGCTAGTTAATCTCTAGAGAGAAAATGGTCATAAAGCATCAATGGTGAAATATTTCGCTTAGTGCTTCACCGAGGGTGAAATAAATTGGGAAGGCGATATCGAACCAAGATGATCTGTGTTATATAAATATCAGTTTTCATCAGTTGCTTCTTATTTTTGGCTCCGACCGCGAAGTAAAATAGACATCTCATAAAGATATATAATAACATCGTTGCGAACTTGCGAGCACAGTAATCTTTCCAATAATAATGAAAAATGGCAAAGAGCAAGTAAATAAAATTGAGACAGTCATCAAATCGTGTGCGTTAGAGAATGGATATCACTTGATTTCATATAGTCCATTTTATGGTAAATTACAAAATGTGAACAACCTGATTGGGAATTTGTAGTCGTAGTGCTACTTTCTGATACAGTAGTAGAGGCTATTGAGTCTGTTGCTGGTTTAGCTGTTGTAGGGGTTGCTTCAGTAATGGTGGTGCGTGGTTGGGAAGTTGCAGCCGTGGTTGGTTCAGTGATAGTAGTGGATGGTTGGGAAGTTTCAGCTGTACTTGGTTCAAAATTGGTAGTGGGTGGCTGGGAAGTTGCAGCTGTGGTTGGTTCAGAATTGGTAGTGGATGGCTGGAAAGTTCCAGCTGTGCTTGGTTCAGAACTGGTAGTGGATGATTGGGAAGTAGCAGCTGTTGTTGGTTCAGTAATGGTAGTGGGTGGTTGGGAAGTTGCAGCTGTGGTTGGTTCAGCAATGGTAGGGGATGGTTGGGAAGTTGCAGCTGTAGTTGGTTCAGCAATGGTAGTGGATGGTTGGGAAGTTGCAGCTGTGGTTGGTTCAGCAATGGTAGTGGATGGTTGGGAAGTTGCCGCTGTAGTTGGTTCAGCAATGGTAGTGGATGGTTGGGAAGTTGCAGCTGTAGTTGGTTCAGCAATGGTAGTGGATGGTTGGGAAGTTGCAGCTGTGGTTGGTTCAGCAATGGTAGTGGATGGTTGGGAAGTTGCAGCTGTGGTTGGCTCAGTAATGGCAGTGGATGGTTGGGAAGTTGCAGCTGTGGTTGGTTCAGCAATGGTAGTGGTTGGTTGGAAAGTTGCAGCTGTGGTTGGTTCAGCAATGGTAGTAGATGGTTGGGAAGTTGCAGCTGTGGTTGGCTCAGTAATGGTAGTGGATGGTTGGAAAGTTGCAGCTGTGGTTGGTTCAGAAATGGTAGTGGATGGCTGGGAAGTTTCAGCTGTGCTTGGTTCAGCAATGGTAGTAGAGGGTTGGGAAGTTGCAGCTGTAGTTGGTTCAGCAATGGTAGTGGATGGTTGAGAAGTTGCAGCTGTGGTTGGATCAGCAATGGTAGTGGATGGTTGGGAAGTTGCAGCTGTAGTTGAATCTACAGCTGTGGTGGTATCCGACTCCGTAGTTGCAGCTGCGGTTTAAAATAAATAAAAATATAGTAAATTAATAAGACTATCTTGAATTAATATTTGTGTTAAAATGAATCGTGTCTTTGCTAACTTCACTAACATTAACTGATAGCAAAATGCCAGAAGTGACCAGGAGAATTAAGAACATCCATACGATTGATCGCAATAGTGAGTCATCAAACCGTAATCAAAAATAAAATGGTAATACTTCGAATCAAACGATTGCTGATTTGGGTTTTTATTGAAAATAACGCACAGCGCATTGATTACGACCCAAATGTCATCATCTCTCGTATTTGTTGAATACTATTGTGCGGTAATAATACGATAGTGTCCCCGTCGAAGGCGCTGACCTAGCATCGACTTCCTTCTTGTCACTTCCATAACATTAGTGACTTGCTCTATATCAAATGTGATGTAACAAAACTTCTTCGCATCGCACATTTGGAATTCTGGACTGATGCTGCTGTTACTATTTTGACCTGCTCCACCGAATGCTAAATACGTATTTGTAAGAAGAAAGCAGTGCAGACTGGTAAAAGCCTCTTCATGACGCAATGTGGCTTAGCTTGGAATAAAACAGCGGCATCTACTAGACTGGACTTTCATCTCCAAAGGTGGGTTGACTAGACCCAGAATACTCAATCATTCTCATTACACTGTATTAGGCTTGTTGAATTTTTCGCTTGTCAATAAAATTTCTATGAAAATATTTTCTCACATAACTTCCAGGAATTGTAGAATTCCGACCTACCTAGCTCTTTTCTTATTGCGGCGCTGACTTGAATTCATTCAAGTTTTGTCTATACGACTATATGCTGATATAACAAGGAAAACTGTTTTACGTTTTAATGGCAGTATTTTATGTTTGAAATCGAAAATACAATTGGTACACCTAGCCCAATATTTGCTTTCTTTTTTCAAATTGTAGAGGATATCTGAATGCTGAGGGATTGTTTTAAGGTTTAGGTCCGTTTTTGATTATAACTATATTCTGAAGTATGGGGCGGAAGTCTGCGTTAATAATAGAACGCCAATTACAGATATGCACATATAATTTCGACGAGACTGATGTTTGCCTTTTTTCTGTTTTATTTGTCTCTATTATCTTAGGGTCGTGTACAGTTGTGTGTGATCGGATTTGTTGCTATGGTCTCAACTAGTATATTTTAAATGGAGTAGATTTGACTACTCTCTCCTCTGTCCACACGAGCCCGCTTCAACATGTCGTCATCTCTTTTTCATCTGACTGCTGTAAAGGTCGGACGCGTTTTCGTTGCTCTGTATTTTATATGTACAATCCGTGCCTTTATTTTGGATAGTAACGCTTTTTACTTATGTGATTCGATTATCGAAGCGATTGCGTGGCTTGGCAGCACACACGGAATCGTCTGGTGGTTTACAGACTTGGCCCCATTCGTGAAACCGCACCACGGAGATCATATCGATCGGATATCGCCTTCGACCACAGTCAAAAGTAGAGTTTTCATAAAGCTAACTATTGTAGTGGCGAATCTAAGTTGCGTTTATCTGCTATATTATATATCGATCTACACGGTGGAAAGTTGCGCAAAATTAAGGTAAAATTTTTCGTCATGGCAAAAAAAGTAACTGTTAAAAAGCGTCAGTCGTGAAATGTTCAAATGGCATTTCACCGTAATTCAATACTATTGAAAGGTATCAATCGGTATATGTTTTAAGTAGCATATCATCCTAACTTCTGTTAATTTTGAGTTACTGTTTTGACACCCTTTATATTGCAGTTGACCCTACTCGCTATAACGCATAGGACCAATCTGCTCATGTACAAATAGCACTCGCTGGTTGTCCACTTGTCAGTGCGTTATAGAAACAGTTGACGAATCGCACGTAACAAAGTCAGCGCTTGTTCGTTTCTCAAGTCTTCTTAAAACTTTGCTGTGTTTTATCAAATTAGCAACACAATCCCAAATCTTTAATTTTTTTGCGGTATCTTTTGGCGTAAAATTGATATCCGCTTTACCTGTTGTAGCCGCAGTTGTTGTTGTTATGAAGTCGCATGTCGTACCATCACCTCCAAAGCCATTGTTGCACGTACATATTATATCACCTGATCCATCAGTCAACCTCACGCAACTCGCCTTTGTTGAGCAATTGGAGCATTGCTCGGAGTCTAAAAATTGTACCTTTGTCAGAATAGATATAGAGAGTCATTAAAAATAGTATCGTTTAGCGTCACAAAAGCTCGCGTGAGTCCTTTCACCGATTGATATATAGACTATATCAAGGGTGGGCAACCTTTTTAGTTTCGCGTGCCAAAATCGGCTAAATTTGACCACAAAATTCTTCCGCGTGCCGACCGAAATTAAAAACAATGCTTTGCTACTTTCAAAGCAAAAAAGATTCACTATTCGGGAAAATATCAGTCCGACAAATAGCTTTGATTACTTTCCTATTATATACCCGTGAGACTTCTGCTGCTGCATTACCACTGATAGAGATTTTACATTGGGTTTATATTTTTTAAGTTTCAAAGAAATACACTAACTACTGGTTTTATCTTTCAGGCTACTCCTGTTAGGAGACTTAATAAAGGTCATAACCAGGGGCGTATTAAGCCCCTTTGGTGCCCTAATCACTGAAGATTTTGGTGCCCCTTCATGTGTAATTTAATTATAAAAACAATAAACCACATAAGTGTATTATCCATCAAAATTATTACACCCAACAGTAAACAAAACTTTTACGAATATTTTTAGGTTTTTTAACTGTTATCTGTACCTAGTAGTCTACCTCAGGGTGGTTCAAGGTTGCTAGGTTGAAGGAACGCAAAAACTTTTGAGGAGGTCTCACGGGCCGCAAGTCGGAGAAAATCCAAAAGTGATCGAAATATCGCAAATTTACTTACTTTAAATTTATTAAACAACGAGAGTTTAACGTTCTAATCAGACTATTATTACGTTGCATGGATGGCGTTCTTTTAATTAAAGAAGATATATAAAGCCTTCAGTTATTTCAAAGTTAATTCCCGAGAATTACCGTTGTATTTTGCGCATCTCGCGTTTAATATGGCTTCAAATTATATTCTTTCGTGACAGATATTACTTGAAATCAAACCAGACACTGTGTGATGGGCAAGGAAATACGTTTCCGTTGTTTTTTTCCTTATATCACCTTTCTTGAGACACACATTTTATTACGAATTGTTATATTGAGTAATTTAAACACTTGCAGCGTGAGCAAGCTTGGTGCCATTGTCAAATACCAACCAAGTCCGTCTGAGTTGGTATTTCGGGACCTAGCTAAAAAAAACTGGATTGCGCGTCGTTAAGTCGGCTCTGCGTTTCGTCACTACTGTCACATGGCCGACGCCCAAAACAGAGGAGTGTTTTTACTAAAATAAAGGCACAAAGCGTTAGAAAAAGGGTTTGAATCTTGAAATCCCAACCCCAGTTGGAATAGCTGAAAAAACTCAAAAACCTTTCCTCCATTAGATACAAATATACGCTAAAATTGTTAGGTGAGGGGTGAGCCGCACGGAATGCATCAGCATGACAGGGTTTGGACCGCTCTGGTCTATCTTATCAAAATACTCCCGACTTCGCTGACCACTAGATCGTTGAAATGCGACGGTGGAACCGTCACATAGTGTAAATAGTTCATTGGTCCAATTGTTGAAGAGAATTTTTTTAAAACAAAAATGTAGCAACAAGGAGAATACTAGAAAGAAAAAACAACAACACATTAAGAAAACGTTTCATAGGCCATTTCGTGTCCAAATAAAGTTTCAGTGTTTATTTTTAATAAAGAAGGTTAATATGATACTTAAAGACGAAAAATGAGCGTATATTTCGAAGTTTGAGTCGTCTGGTGAACTCGTAATATTTTAATGAACACCGATAAACTATATAAAATTTTGCTTTAAAATTTCTGTGGTGCCCCTCTTTGCTTGGTGCCCCAAGCACGTGCTTATATCGTTCATTAATGGTTAATCCGGCGCTGGTCATAACTGAGAACAGAGATTCACAAGCATATGTAGATGAAAACATGGAGAGTAATGCAGTTGCAAAGTTTTTAAAACATGAAAAATTCTCGGGATTGGCATCCCAATCACGCAATAGTTCGTTTTCTGCACTTCTCTCTTGTATTCCCTTTCCTAATCGCTTATACTTCTTTCGAAATAAATTTATTACAGTAAGTTGGCAAGTAACTCTAACCAACATAAGTTGTACAACTTCATAAATCAATCAGAAATGAAGAAAAAGTGTGGCACGGACGATGTAGGATACGTAACAATGTAGCCAAATGAATTGAGTGTTCTTCTCGACAAAACTCGTCGAGAGCTCACTCAGTTGTTACGTCATAATATATTTCTTTCTAGCCATATGTCATGAAAAGACAAAACGAGTTCGAATGAATAACGGATTGTTAAGAAACGATAATGAATAAACGAACACCGAGTTCATCACATAATTCAGAGTCTCAAAACTTTTTATCTGAAAGAGAATGATCTCGTTTCTGAGGCCTCGCTCGCGTGCCGAATAAATGGGCTCGCGTGCCAAGTTTGGCACGCGTGCCAGGGGTTGCCCACCCCTGGACTATATCGTGCATTGTATTGAACGAGATATTTTGACCCTAATTTTTATTAGATATATACAAGGGTAGTAAATATTAACCAAACATAATAGTTTGTTTAAATTTCCTATGCTTCGACCTCCTACTACTTCTACAAATTGATGTACTAACTTGGTGTTACACGTATTTCATTCGATGAAGTTGCAGAAACATTTCGATCGTTTTGAAGTCGTGTCATTATATTTATCTTGAAGGTTACTTCAGTACCATTAGTCAAAGAGGTGACAGGTATCTAAAATTCAACATTAAAATCATTATCTCTTGTTTGTGCTTTTGTCAGCGTTTTGTATAATTTATTACACACGCACGGGAATGGAATATGATCGAGAATTACTGAATTCCACAAATATTAACTAGCAATAACGACAAAATTGTAATCTATTTTCAAACATTTCAAAATAAGATTTAAAACAACATAATTTAGTGCAAACATCTCAGGTGAAATCAATAAAGCAATTTCATGCTTCGCGAAACTTAATTAATTTCATTTTCACAATACCTTGTATCCCCATTGATAATAAAAATGGCAAACTCTACTTTATTCTTGAATAATTTTTTAATATAGCTTTTCAAATAACATAAATTTTCACCAACATTTTTAAACAAAAAAAAAAACTAAGCTCAATTTCAATGAGACATCTTTCTCCATGGTAAACCATTTGAGCGTGTGAAAACTTTGCTCAACTCAATTAAAATGATGAGTTGGATACGTAACCCCAAGCGTAGAATATAGGGCGCTCCCGAAGTATATGAACTAAGATGGCGGACACCGGAACGTAGTATGTGTACCAGGTTAAGGTTAGGTCATAATTTTATTCCAATTTTCCTTATTTTAGTTCTATTACGAGTTCGGGGACTAGCCAAGTGGCTCCCGTAGTATTTGTACCTGAAATTATGGCCCAGCCCTAACCTGGTACACATACTACGTGCCGATGTCCGCCATCTTGATTCATATACTTCGGAAGTACCGAATATAGTATAATTCTTCTCACGATATTTACTATTAGTATTGGTGTTTGATTGAGGTCTTCAAGTCAGCGTTCCCTAAATACCCAAAGTTCACTTATTGATATTCATTCTGGATTCCGCAGTAGTTTTACATGTTCTGTTTTTGGTATCAAATTGCGCTAGAACAGAATTGTGCATCCTTTTATTACAGGAGGGCCAGATACAAGTAATTGGGTAAAGCTGAGAGCAGCACCTTTATTTAAAATAGCCTTTCTAGTAGTTGCAAGCACACAAAAAAATTTCCTTTTCATTCTTGATCATATGGCACTGTTATTGGCCCTACAAAAAATGGTGAGTCAAAACGCATACATTTCTGCTATTCAAATTTATCGTCACACCGACTTCAAACGATTTCAAGAAGAAACACGTTTTTATAACATTGTGTATTTTGCAACAGGATTTTGTGAGCTAGTTTTACTAATATGACAGTGGCACTCAGGTACTGGTATAAGCTTTGCCACGGAGATCGGAATTGTTAGCACGTACCAGATTCTCCGCGGTCCTCACAATTTTTTTCTTGCGGGCCGCAGTTCGCACACCCCTGGGCTAAAGCCTTCTGTCTGTCGACAGGGTTACCTGTAGCAACCGTGGGTTGTAAAGTCAATCACTGAAGAGCAGCAAGTTATAACGTATATATATATTAATACAATTCGTATATCTTGCGTTGGATTGTATTTCCTGGCCTCACCTTTAAAACGTCTGATCCATCGATTTCTTCTTCTTTCAATGTAGCAACGACCATGCCATCACTGTTCAATATTTCATATCCAATCGTCTTTTCTAGAGAAGGTATATTCAACGTCACGGATGTTCCGTCAGATGATGAAGCGTACGTTATAGCTTCTGCAGTTTTATTCACAACGCTGACATCCAATACTGCAAGAAAACTAATACTCTTGTTACCTCTATACCGGGGTTGCCCAACCGGGGCGATAGGGTTGATGACTTGATATACAAATACAGCCAAATATATACAACAGACGAATATACATATGCGAACAATTCCATATGCATATACAGCCAATGCCATATACACAGCCAATTCCATATAATATGCAGTCATTCAAGCAATGTACGTACACAACGAATGACATCTGCATAAGCTATATGGTAAACTCAATATATATACATACTGCAGTCAGTGACGTACATATAAAAGTCAATGCCTATTAAAATACAGCCAATTCAATACATGTGTACAGTCATTCAAGAAATGTTAATGCACAGCCAATGTTTATATAGCCAACTGAATATACATATACAGTCATTTGAATGATATACGCGAAAAATCGATGCACTATATAGCAAACTCAATACGCACATGTCATTTAAGTGATTGCATACAGATGTCAACGTCATATATATATACAGCCAAGTCATATACATATGGAGCCAACCAAATATGCATATACAGCCAAGGCTGTTATATACTTAAGCAACCAACCCAATATAGATATACAACCATTCATGTAATATACCTACAAAAGTAATATTCATATAGATCCAACTCAAAATACATGTAGTGGCAATAAATTTATATACGTATAAAAATCAATGTCATATGCATATACAGCCAATCAAATAACGTACATACACAGCCAATGTCATATTCTTGCATAGCCGGATGAATATACATCTATTAAATGATATACGTATACGAGATTTGTTGTCATATGCATATACAGCCGCATATACAGTGATGAGCATACAGAGGTCAACGTAATATATACAGCCTATCTCATTTGTATATGGGCTACAGCCGATGTCATGTACATATGCAGTCAACTCATATACATTTAGGGGACCTCCAGAAGTATGTGCACAAAGATGGCGCACAATCTGAAAATAGTATGTGTACTAGGTTAGGGTTCAGGTTGTGCGCCATCTTGGTGCACATACTCCTGGAGCGCCCATTTAGGGCCAACCAAATATATATATAATGCCAATGCCATGTGCATATACATACAATGCCATACGCATATACAGCCAATGTCATACATACACTTCGATTTTCGTTGAAAAGTAGATAATCTTATTTTCTGTATTTTTATACAGCTGTGAGCACGTGGTTACCTGTTGAATGGAGTAGGTGATCAACAGTGTCTCCGGGTAAAGATAAACTTTGAGCTTCAAAATATCTCGTATACAGTCTCACACCACTTTTTCTTAAAATGTCTTTTATAAGAAACCCTGGAGTAAGTCCAGCCGCGGTGTTCAAGTCCAATGATTCTATTACATCCGAGGAACCATTTAATATGTCTAAAATATTTTGAAAAAAAAATGAAGAACAAATCTATTTATGAAAAGTCATCTGATCCTATTGTAATAAAGTCTGTTTCACGAAACCAGCAGTTACATTAAAGATTTGAAGCTAAAACAGTAAACACACAAATCCAATTTAGTGGTCATTACCGTCGATCACAGAGCATAATATCTACTCACTTGAGTAGTTTCTCATTCGAAAGTGCTTCATTCGAAATCATAGTTGACCAACTAATCATTTCTACAATAAAATTCTCCTATTGAGTATGGAATCATTATCTTGGCGCATATATTTTATTGGCATCCACTAGCGTTCGTTTTAAAAGCGCCGGAATTTTTCGGATTCGACAAGTTCCACACAATTTGCCTCAATAATGGATAAATACGAGAAATCAATGAATGATTTGTTTTTGCGACTTCACTATATATATATAGAAAAAGAGTGTAGATCATTAATTACTAATTGTGCTCAAAAAATATATTGTTCTATGTTTACTGAACTCCAATTTCAATTGACTCTGTTAAAAATTGTTTAACCAAGCAGCAAGCAGTCACAATTCCAATCCAAGTTTTCCAATTTGCAGTAATAAAATATGGAATTTACCTCCGTTAACTTGTATAATCATTGAACTTTGTGGATTACAATCCATGATTTCCCCTGTAAATGTTATTGGGATTGAAATAGTTGATCTGTCTTCTTGTGTTATGTACGACTGAACATTAACGTCTTTGTTGGTCACTGGATATGAGGAGTTGTAGATTTTGTATGAAAAGATGTATTCAGTACCGCTACCTGATGCGTGTAGGCCTACATATAAGCGTGGGATTCCCACGCATTCGTCTGCAACGAAACAGATATAATAGTAGTAAATTGAGACTGAAAAAATGCTCGTACGATTTCAATCAATGCTATAACCTGACGTAACAGATATAAAGGAAAATCTTCTCTAAATTTAAAGATCGCATTTAAAGAAGCAGCGATATCTTCACAAGAATGGCAATTGGTGTTTCCATAATCAAAGCTTCAGATAATTAATTTTAACGGGCAATAGTTCAATGAATATTGCCGGTATTCATCTCCCAAGTGGCTTAATAACATTTCCTAGCCTGAAAATTTGTTCTTGCATCTTAGCCCAAATGGAGTAGGTTAGGTACCTGCATTGCCTTGCAATGAAACTAATTTTCTAGTTCGAGGAGGGAAGTGGATTTTTATCGGCAAAATAGCAATTGTTAGGTTTTAAAGACTCTCACTTTAATCTAAGAACTTGAAATAAAATATGCTAATTCGACTTTTACCCACCTCCGTTGTTGATAAACGAGTTGTTGAAACCTGCTCCGGTTAACGTATAATTTACTGCTGAAGGCAAGCTTTTTTCTTTGACTTCAATTTCATAAAATGCGAGAAGATTTCCTTTTCCGTTGTTTCCAATTTCAATAATCGTTATTGCATTGTAAGTTATATTCATTGCACTATATGCTCCTGTTATTATTGAAAGAGTTGTATTCCAATCATCGCTGAATTCGTTCGAATATGAAGGACTGTAATTCTCATTAACAAGGTCTACTCGACCAAATATTGAGAGAGAAGCTGAAAAATATACGAGTTTGAGTTTCATCATTCAAATGACTTATTTATTGTTTAATATTCCCAATTCGCAGGAGGTAATGTAGTGAATATTTGCAACACGAATAGAAGTGGGAAACCGGTTCGTAAGAAAATCTGGCGCTACAGAAGTATTTGTACCAATATGGAGGTAACTAACTTTGTTCGCCTACTTCAAGTTGTGTAAAAGGACTGAAACCTATGGGCAGGGGGTATATTTACTTGGCTAACACAGACAGTCCACAAACTCGTAATAGAACTAAAATAAGGAAAATCTGAATAAAATTTTGGTCTAACCTTAACCTGGTACACATACTACGGAAGTACCGAAAATTTGCTAAAAGCAAAGATCACGCGCACTTACTCAGAAGTAATGGAGATTGATTCCTGAGCGAAGATACGGCGAACACTAAAGTACAATAACCTGATGTGTAAAAATATAGAGAATCGAAACCTGTTTTAAAATTCTGCCACGAAGAATACCGAGTATCCGATATATCCATGCTGCCATACAACTGTGACGCCCTTGCTTGTATTTTGTAATCGGTGTCCGGTATCAGTTTAGATAACCTGCAAAGGTATAAATAACATAATAGCCTGCTTGGAATTGAATGAATGAATATTGAATGCATTTAAAATATTACAATCGATAAACTTGTTTTGGAAAGAAAATTTAAATAATAACGTGAATCGAAATAATTATGAACAATATCACCACTAAGAAAGAATTTTCGGATTATCTTTATACAATGCAGTTTTCGATTTGAATTGAACTCTAAAGTAAATACACTCATAGGCTCGAACATGCTTTTCAAAGAGGTCAGCGACTATATTCCTCCATTGCGTCAGACACTTAGTCAGAAACGTGGGCGACTAAATAAAGATTTAAATTTCTATCCACTGTCATTGTAGTTCCACATTTAAAATAGTCAATCCCAAATATTTTAATGTTTTGTTTATCTTTTTAAGAACTTACCAGTACTGATAATATTGACCACTAGGTGTGGTTACAACCACTGATGAATCACTGGAAGCCACTTCTTGATATTGAATTGTCCACCCCGACACTCGTGCATAATTGTTCAATTGAAATGCAATATATACTGATGTAGGTAAAGGATCACTCAGTGTGAACGTTGGAGGCCCTGGTACTGTAGCATACAAAACAGCTTTAGAGATCTAGAACAGGGGTTGGCTATGCAACATTTATTTTTTTTTTTCAGTGGCGATATAACCAACCTAAGACATTTAGCTGGGCCACACAAAAAAAAATCAGTTTTTACGTATTATTGCTCCACAATATAATATTTAAAACAAGCGTTATGTAAGCCTGCAGCAGCGATATACATTGGCAACAACCAGAGCACCGACGAAAAAGCGATAAAAGAGAATGCGGCTATCACTTAGCCTCACGGTAATAACGGTATCAGGAAAATCGCGCAAGGTTTAACTAAGCGACGAGAGCAAGAAAAACATGAACTGTCGGATTGGGATTTTAGGCTTGGTGAGTGTTGATGATGGCCACATTTAATGGTTTGGCGGGCCGGTTTGTGGCACGCGGGCCTCCTGCTGCGCATCCAATCGCATTTTCTGCTAATTAATTTTTTCCATAGAACTTATGATGAAGATTGGGAAAGTAATGCAAATCAACAATTTATTTTTTTATAGTACAGATTCAGACTAAGTTGTATAAAATAGAATATACCAGTTATTTCAATGCGGTGTAAAACACTAATCACTTAATAATTATGAAATTCAAAATTAGAAGCGACAAAACTACAATTCGCTTGATGACGATATAATAGCGTTATTTACTTCGAGTATAATGTTTAATGCACGTCTTTGATTCGTCAACAATTTATTTCGGGTTATCAAAATTTTTAGTATTAATTTTTTTTCGGACTTTCGATATATCTCGAATAAAAGAAAGCTACATTATATAACCAAACTCAGCAACAATACATACCTCGATATCGAATTATATAAGTGTTCTATGACTGACAAGTAATTTAAAATGCAATATGGGTTTACTCAATAGATATAAATTATCACAATCGATTATTGTGGTTTAATATAGACTTCCAGTCCATTTAGTTTTAGGTGAATCTCTATCATAACAGAAATCAATTTTTCCATAAAACGTTGAAAAATATATTTCAAATGGTCGGTCCATTAGTTCTACAGTGTCAAAATATGACTAAATCATAGATAGCCTAACTGATTTATAGGAGCAAATGCATTTGGTTACTAATTCATATTAAAATATTATACCGGTATGTGTCTATTAAAGTTTGCCAATTTGGCAAGCATCTGTTAAAACTGTTAGCAATCACAAGCTGAAAGTTTTATGCTTTGCAATTGTACAAATTTACCGAGGGATACCGACATTTGGTGGTCCGATAATATTCTATCATAAAAAAATATTCTTTACGTGTATGTGCTGAAGTTGCGTTACTGTCCGGACCAATTTCACCAGCTGCATTTTCACCTTTGACACTTACATAGTATATCGTATTTCCAACTAGATTCTGAAATGAAAATGTGGAATATACATTAAGTCAATCCAGTTCGTGACAACGTGCCAGGATTAACGGGTTGCTTACTTGTTGTAAATCTGACATGGGCGAACTACAACACGAGGGCCAAATCCGGCACGTTGGGTAGTTTAATATGGCCCGCCTGATGCTGCCACAATCCAACTAAAAAAGTTTCAGCGGAAAAGTTGCTCAGGGAATTTATTGAGATTGCGATTAAATTTAGTTTCGACACGAGGCTTATTGTTTTCCACATTTACTTTTGCAACACTGTAAATATTGTTCATAAAATGTAACTTTTACGTCACACTTACATGGCCCGCCAGTCCTGGTGGGCGAAATATTTGGCCCCTGGCCCAAAAACCTTGCCCACCCCTCTGAAGTATCAAAAACCTTATAAATAATTATCGAATCACATGAAGCACGTCAGAATTGTTTCCAGAAAATTTGATTTGTAATTTCGAAACAGAAAATAATTCAGATAAGTATTTAGAAACATCACAAAAACCAACCTCAACTAAAACAGATCCGGCCGTGTTGGCCTTAAAAGTTCGTGGTGCAAATGAAGCATGACGTGGTGCCACAGTAATATAATATGCAACGAGGTCTGTGACACTTGAGAAAGAGACATCAAAAGTAGTTTCCTTAATGCTTGTTACGGTCGGAGGATCCATTACACCTGAAATATTAATTAGTTAAACATTACATATCAATGATATAATTTGTATCTTCAAGTCGTGATTATTTGCCTAGTCTCTGGGAAACCAACGACGAGATGATTACAAACAATAGTTTCAGGAATTTCCACCACCTTGAAGATGGCGGAGTGGAATGTAAATTCAAACTAAGACAAACACTAGAAACTTCATCTAACCGCAGTTTTTGGGTACTCCCGAAGTACGCGTACCAAGATGGCGGACACCGGAACGTAGCCTAGTATGTGTACCAGTTTCGGGTTAGGCCATAATTTTAGTGTCTTTATTTTAGTTCTATTACGAGTTAGGGGACTACCCAAGTGACTCCCGCAGTATTTGTACCTGAAATTAGGGCCTAACCTGGTACACATACTACGTCCCGATGTCCGCCATCTTGGTTCACATACGTCGGGTGCACCGTTTTTTTGTTGTTGCCAGTTTGAATATTAGATATGATGACGTGAAAGTATTTTTGTATACAAAATATGTTGAGATAGAACTTCTCTAGTCTATTGAACAGCACAATCAACATAGTTATTCAAAACCCATCCCACGCAAAAAAATATAAAGTGGCATACTCAAACAGCTTCTACCATGTGTTCCGAAATAAGCACTGTATTTAAAGTGTAATGAGATGGGAACAATATTCCAAACTGTAGATTTCAATACTGTCAAAATTTTCAGTAGTTCCCGGAGGCAACTGAACCCAGTTATACGCTAAAGTCAATATTATCTCGTAAAATTTACACAATTTTCCCCGAATTCGTAATAGAACTCAAATTATGGCCTAACCTGGTATACACACACTGCGTACGGGAGTACCCAATTTTATTTTTTATGTATTCGGGCTTAAAGCTAACTCTATTGGTAATTTTTTATTTTTATTGCCGTGTTTGGACTTTTGTGAATAGTGCTGTCAGTAATAAAATCTGTTTATGTGTATTAAAAGATATTGGATTCGAAGCCCATGTTGGTTACAACTTTTACAGCAGTGAATTGAATGAAAAATATTATTACGACAAAGGTTGCGTGTGATAGGATTTTTATTTGCTATTTATTACATTTAGTGCCACTGTTAACACAGTCGTGCAATCATTCGTGCTTCCGACACAAGCGTTGTATGAGTAATGCCCAACATAACTTGAGCCTTGGGCTTTTACTAACTAGGCGGTAAAAAAATAACAGAACTTTGGGTCATTGGCTTTATGAATTGGGCATTAGCGACATCTCTAAATAAAGATCGGACCGCCCATTCAAGTCCATCCGTTATGTAAAATACAGGGATACATAGCGTCCATACCATTGATAACCCTGCTCTCATGAGTGGTGGATTTTATAAAGATTCGTACAGAATTAGGAGTAAAGTGTTTTGCAAATTATCACTCATTAAATTAGAGCACAATTGTAATGTCTAATAAATTATTCCAAACAATATCTTATGTTGTCATATCATGTTCAGGAGTTTTTTGTCTCAACTGCGCACAAATAAATCAATTTTAAATTGGAAAGAATATTTACCGAGAGGATCACATGATGATAATCCAATGCAGAGGAAAGCATACACCAATGAAATCGCTGATCTTCCAGCAAACGAGTGCTTTGCTAATGTCATATTTTCATTCTCTTTGTAAAATTCCAAATCACTAGATAAATTTAACTATATGAATTAAATAATTTTAGTATCTGTGATCTAGCGGTAAAATATATATATTTATCACATATAGCACTGTGATCTAGTTGAGCAAGAAATGATTTTATTGCTGTGCAGTCTCCCGATAATAATCCGATTACAGCTGCTTGTAACGTTTTGACAAAACAAAAAAAGTCCGCGCCATGGGACGGGGATGCCCGTCTGGATGAATATAGCTAAAACTAAATTTTTAAAAATCGAGTTTACATTAAGTTACATCCAAAATTACCGCTCACATGATGCACTTTGGATTGGAAAGATATTTAAAACACTCGAAATGTTTATACGATTTTCGGATGCGGAATAAGTTTCTTCTCTATGCAGCAGCAATCGGTTTCGAATAATCCACCATGGGATGTGTTCAAAAAAGAGGTCCGTTATCGGCGCAGTTTCCTCATGCAGGCATTTTTCTTCTAAACCTTGTCTTACATTGTAAAAAATCATAGAACTTGAATTCATACGGTATGTTTTGCCAATCGTATTACGGTCATCTCAAGCCAACTTGAAGATTTCAAGTTGTACCGTATCCATTACTCTGTTAAAATATTTCTGCATCGTTCATGGTGCAAAACAATGTGACAAATCTAGTATCTGAAATAAACTATTCTATTCTCATCTATATTATACTTTTTTTAATATTTCTTGTATCACATTCTGAACATGAAAAAATGACTCTTTTTACTTCTGTTAGACACGTAAGTTCAGTCTATGTACATTAACTAATAAGTATTGCTCGCGACTGGAAAGGACAAATATTACTGTATCTGTTGAATGAACTGTTATAACTTTCTGTAAGGAAATCCTGTCTTTGATGTGGAACTATTTTTATTTTCTGTAATAAATTTTCACAGTTTGCCCCCTGTCTTTTTAATACGATTTTAAGCTATTGTTTTCTTCTTTCGGTCGTCGTCTTTCGATTTTATAGTATATTGTCAAAAACTTCGTATGTTCAGTTCACTGTCTCATAGATATATGTATCAATTAATTAGAATTCTTGTATCATGACACTTTGTTCATGCATCGTGTAAAAATTAATACTAAAATAGTTACTAACCACCACACCTGGAAAAGGAGATATACCGTACAACACTGGTTCCCAGCCTTTTTTCAATCGAACCCAAACTA